AGAGAGAGAGGGAGAGAGAGAAGGGGGGAGGCGATATCATAATATCAAAGTAGGCACCAGCAGACGGGCCGAATTTATCATTTAGGCTTAGCAAACCATGCTGTTACCTGTAGCGAAATGCTCGCATTTTACAACACAGAATAGAGATCTTTTAAATACGAAAATGGTGCTCAAACATCCCGCATGAAGTGCTCCTTTATCGTCGTACTGGAAAAAGAATAAGAACAATGTGTACATAATAAAATATTATGTTCATAATTTGTTTAATAACGAAATGCCACTTGATTTCTCCACAGACATTCACTGCCAACGGCGTTACATGCGCTAGAACTTACAAGAAGATCTCATAAACTGGGCACTGGTCAAACTAGACGTTTTGATGTTTGCTATTTTTACGTGCATTGCTTCTAATTGGATATCAGTACTTAATGAAAGAATAGTGTGTCTGACTACTGTGAATAGTAACATGTCAGTGGCCACCTTAAGATGAGACTTAAGTAGTCGGATTTCTATTCAGAAAATCAACCGTGTAAGTGTAAGATAGTCTGGGTGAAGTGCAAAGACCTTTTAAACTCGAATTTAATTAATATGTTTTGGTAATACAGAAATGCGGGCTTTACAACAGATTTTCGTGTCTGAGTGAATGTAAAATTTTAACAACGTGATAATAAAGCATTATCTTATCTTTTGAAAGATTGTAAACTGTTTCTTAATTTAACGTCTTTTTGGGGTCATCTTTGGTGACTGTATTTGTGTCTGTCGGAAAAGTAAATTATCAGTTTCCGAGGCCATCCAAAAAAGGGAGGGGAAAAAATATCATCCCTATTCCTTGTCATCAGGGAATATCGCACTTTCAGCTTTCATTGCCTATATTTTCCACACCAACTAAGCTTGTTAAATAAATCAACTTCTACTTCTAGTTCTCGAGAAACAAGACCAGCGCAATTATTATAATACCCGACTTAAGTCCCGTTGAAAGATGTTACAATTACAAGTGCATGAAATTGAATGCATTTTAAGTATTTTAGCGGGTTGAGGAATGAATGTTATAGATGTGCTTTCGTTTATTTTATCTGTTCATTTTATTTTGATTTGTTTTTAGGGGAGTGCTTGTTACTAATGCTGGAAATGAGCAATTAAGAGTGATTGACAGAGAAAGTGAGAATCATAAGGCTCAAGTGAGATATTAAAAATTTAACAAATTGTCTCTATCTGCAAGATGAAAGAGTGACTTTTGATTCTGTACCCTGCATAGTACTGTTCTGTATTTAATAGCCATGGCTAGAAGAAACAATCGTGCTGCTTTTTGTTCTCATCGTCATTAAATATGTATATTTTGTTTCAAACTGTATAATCTGTTTGTTGTAAGATCCATATTTTCATTTACTTTGTTTGCGATGTTATGCGTCAGTGTGGAACGTAAATGGATTAAACCAGACCAAAAAGGAAGGGAAAAGTGGAGTACGAATTTCCTATTGTTGTTGTTGTTATTGTTGTTGTTATTATTGTTGTTGTAGTTGTAGTTGTTTTTATGTATGTGAGAGAGAGGGGGAGGGAGAGAGGGAGGCATGGGGGGAGAGGGTGAGAGAGTGTAACATGTGTAAG